ACTACTGAGTGGGGGATCAACAGAGCTGATGGTTACTGCTGAGTGAGTGATCTGCTGAACAAGGGTACTAATAAGCTGGGGATCTACTGAATGGGGGTACTAATGAGCTGGGGTTCTACTGGGCCCCCTTTAAAACAAATGGAAAATCAACACACACAGGGCATTTTGCCAAGCTTCATTAAGCATCACAGAAGCATCAAAAACACATCAAAAACGCATGTTGAAGTGGTGGGCACTTTAATGTGTGGTGAATTCGAAGCAAGTGTAAATGAGCTCTTAAAGATGCAAAATAAAACACTAAGGTCTTTGGAATATTTATAGGAGCAATGTTTTTAAGGACATATTTAATCCTGTGCATCTTTATGAAGTCTACAATAACAACATAGAGATGCACGCTTAAAATAAACTTGTGTTCACTTTCATTGTACACTGTATGGTCAAAGGTTTGGTTACACCAGACCATCCCACCAACTATATGGCCAAACGTAGGTGGATCCCCCAAACAACTGAGTTCAGGTGGTTCCAGTGAAGGGTACAGCATGCACAGGTGTTTACACAATTGTAAAATGATCTATTTTCTGACAGCAGTTTGAGGAACATTCTCAGTTCCGGCATGACTGTGGCCCTGTTCACAAAGCCAGCTCCATAAAGACATATATGATTTTGGTGTGAAGGAACTTAAGTGACCTGCACAGAGCCCTGACCTCAACCCTACGGAACACCTTTGGGATGAATTAGAATACTGATTTGTGGGACATGTCCCCCAATACAATCAATACTGGACCTTTACAAATGCTTATGAGGTCTAAGCAGCTGAGTAGAAGCCTTTTAGTTTTCAGTAGCATTGTCAGCTTGCAGTTTATGCTCCTTCAATTGGCCATTGGCTGCCTATTAGGTCTGCATTTTGCCTTTTGTATGGAAATAGTTAAAGTGTAACTTTTCCTTAGTTTTTGAGTATGAAGGGGGTTAGAAACCTCCATCAGGTTTCTAGTTCTCTTTGCATCTCCACAAAGGAAATTCACATTCTCCATTTGCCCAGTGGCCATTGTCACTTGAACAGAAAGTGATGCAAAATCCAAACATTATGGTTATCACCAGGACAGAATATGGGAAGAAAATCGTCCAATGGTGTCACTCGTTATGGTGACAACTGCCTAGGAGGAATTTTTGGAGAGGTTTCCTCAATTTCTTCTGGCGTCTTTCAGAAACGGGAAATGACGTTCTCCTCAACGGAAACCAGGGCAGCAAACATTCCCAATCCTTAAAACCCTAATCACAACCCAAAAAATGTTTTGACTATTTACTCAAATGTAAGGCTTTAAATACACCTGGAATTTTCAAGGAGACCCCAGTGACATATTTGGCCTGGTAATGGACCAACAAATAAAAGGGTCAACTTCATCTCCAACCTCACCTGTAGGGGTTCAAGGTGCACACAGTCACAGCTGGGAACAGCAGTCTGTCTGAGTTGACGTTGACATTAATGCTCACCGGGTAACTAAAATATTGTCCAAAGAGCAGTCCGAACTGCCAGTACATCAGGCCAAAGGTGACCAGGAACAAGACGAGCCAAAAGGCGGTTTTCATGCGGTTGTTTCGTGAACATACCAGCCGGATGGCTCCATGAATGGTCGTGTTATTACAAAAGAACTCAAAGAGTTCCCGATAGGATGAATAGAACTCAATGAACCTTCCTTCTCCGTCTTCTTTTCCTCGGCCATCCTGGAGACACAAAGACATATTTGCATGTTTATTTTCTTTAAGGACTTTTGAAGGCAGAACCAATCTCTTTAAAAAATAATAATCCCCAATTTATAGATAGAATGGTAGCATGATACCATGCCCAACAGAAACAGGAAAATGTTTGAAGTGTTACATTTATGGTATTGCAAACTTATGGAGACTCAGGGGTCCCTTTGTAAAGCAGTATGGCCTTTACTGTGGTCAAACTACTACTTTGAAAGCGTACTTTGGGACCAGGGGTGGCCCCCGGGCAATAGGGGATCATGGGGCCCCGTGTCCTTGCCCACACTCAAAGCACACCCAAAAAAAGCCTATAAAAAAGGTACCAGGGGCATTTCATGGGGCCCCCTACTGACCTTGGGCCAAAGGGAGTGCTCGAGTGCTCGAATGTCAGTCCGCCCCCTGTTTGGGACTCAAGGAATTTTTAAGAATAGAAGCTAACTAACCTATCGAAGTCATGTGACTGGCCTCTATTTCAGTCATGGCATTGGTGTTAATTTACTAAAACTGGAGATTGCAAAATCTGGTGCAGCTGTGCATGGGAGCCAATCAGCTTCTAACTCCAGCTTGTTCAAGCTTTGACAAAAAAAAAAACCTGGAAGCTGATTGGTTTTCCATGCAGAGCTTGCACCAGATTTTGCACTCTTCAGTTTCCAATCAACCCCATTGTTTGAAAAATTGATGAAAAAAAAAAATGGAACACCCATGTGAAAGGACCCATACTCAGACGAAAAAGTTAACAACGAAAAACAAAACCTCAAAAAAAATCAAAAAACAGACCCCCCCCCCCAAAAAAAAAACCCCCCCAAAAAAATAAAAAAACGGGCAGACTTGACAGACCACTCAGTCTTTTTTCTGCATCCACTTTTTCTATTTTCTATGAATGGTTGGATTTGCATGTCATCCAGGACTCACTCTCTGAATTAAAAATAGATGAGAGATGATTGTTCTCATCCTCGTGAATTGCTTCTTGTTAAACCATCCCAACCTGTTTGGCAGAATGGGACAAACCATTCCTTCCATTTTTCAAGCTCTGTACTTTTATTAGCAACATATATATTCAAACAGCAATTGGGAGATGGTAGAATGTTAGAGCAGCATTTCTCAGCCAGGGTGTCGGTGGGGTACCACCGCTGAATCTCATATTTTTTCAGTGTCATTTCCATGGTGCAGATGGGTCAGCCGAGGACTCTGATGTAGGGGCTGGGGACTCTCATGTGAAAAGGGTGGAGTTGAGGACTCTGATGCAGAAGGAGGGGATGAGGATTCTGAATGAAAAGAGGGAGAATCAGGACTCTAATGTAAAGGGGGGGGGGGCTGAGGACTCTGATGTAAATGTACAGACTAAGGACTGAAATGCGTGGGACCAAGGACTCTGATGTGGAAGGCGGGGGATTGAGGACACCGATGTGAAAGGGTTCGGACTGAAGACTCTGATGTGAAAAGGTTTGGACTGAGGACTCCGATGTAAAGGGTTTGGACCAGGGGCTGACTGACAACTCAAGGGGCCCCCGGGGCAATAGGGGATCATGGGGCCCCTGTGTCCTTGCCCAAACTCAAAAAAGCCTATGAAAAAGGTACCAGGGGCAACTCATGGGGCCCCCTACTGACTCCGGGCCCTCGGGCAGTGCCCGAGTTTCCAAATGGTCAGTCCACCCCTGGTCCAGGGTAAGTACATCTCCTCTACCCCCCTCCATCCTCTGCATTCTCCTGGAATCTCGGTCAGCTCTGTGTATTTCCTCCAGGAATCCAATGGGAGACTTCCTGGAATACAGACCACTCACTGCTGCTTCCCTCCTTGTGCAGAGTGCCTGGTCTTGTCTCCGCCCCCTCCTGTGGTTTTCTGTAGTGGGTGGAGCCTGATGGTCCCTCCCACAGCTCTGGTACCAGTACCCTGGGTAATATCTGGCTTTGTAAAGGCATTCAGTGTGAAGTGGATTCATCTTCTACTGAGAAAGGCATGTCAATGAAAGTCGATGTGGCCGGAGTTCAGCGTGAATGTCGATGAATCATCGCAGGGAGACATAAAATGATTCCTAATTAATGTGCGGCGGAAAGAATGCAAAGCTGATTATGAGGGTATTTATAGAGATAATAGCAGCTATTTAAGGTTCAGCCACCGTGATGCAGCTTGCAGGCAATATGTGGGTGTGTCGGTATAGAGACTGGTTTGTGTGTTGGAAAGGAAATGACTTGCGGATGAAAGAAGATATACCTAAAGTGGTTGTAAACCTCAGACATGAACTATGAACAAAGCACATCTCTCTATAGTGTGTATCTGTCTCAGTCCAGAGCACTAAGTGTCATTTCTGTCTGCTGCCTCCTTCCTCTGCTATCAGCATGTGTCACTTCTGAGGAACATTCCTGACACCAAGAGAAAAAAGGGTGACGGGAGGGCACAGCCTGTGATTGACAGCCTCAGCTCTGTTCCTGTGTGAGGGAGGGCTGTGTCCCTTCTCTCCAATCAGCTGTCAGAGCACTCCTCACTGAGTGTAACATCAGCTCCCTGCCCCCTGGTTTTCAGTGCTGTGAGATCCTGTGTAAATTCTGCACTTTGAATTTGAAGGGTAGAGGACAGACAGCTAGAGATAAAATGGTACAACTTGTGCAGGATGATTTGTTTCATCTCTGTGCATCATCTGAGGCCAGTCACTTCACTGGGTATTCCAGGTATGGATTTTTTCACATAGTTACATTGTATCAGCTTGGACCAACTATGTACAGTATATATCATACCTGTGGGATCTCTCTAGAACAGGGTTTCTCAGCCAGGGAACCAGGGAATCCTAGGGTTCCTCTAGAGGGTTATAGGGGTTCCTTGAGCAATGAGAAAGTTCTGTCTCTCTGATAAGTTCCCACTGACACCATCTATCTTTTTAGCTATCTATAAGGAGCATTCTTACCACCAGGGGCGGACTGACCATTTGGGAACTCGGGCACTGCCTGAGAGCCCGGGGTCAGTAGGGGGCTCCATGAGATGCCCCTGGTACCTTTTTCATAGGATTTTTTGAGTTTGGCAAGGACACAGGGGCCTCATGATCCTCTATTGCCCGGGAGCCCCATGAGTTGTCAGTCCGCCCCTGCTTCCCACTGACCACCAATGTAAGGGACATTCTTCCCACTGATCACCAATGTAAGGGACATTCTTCCCACTGATCAACCAATGTAAGGAGCATTCTTCCCACTGACCACCAATGTAAGGGACATTCTTCCCACTGACCCCCAATGTAAGGGACGTTCTTCCCACTGACCACCAATGTAAAGGACATTCTTCTCACTGACCACCAATGTAAGGGGCATTCTTCCCACTGATCACCAATGTAAGGGACATTCTTCCCACTGACCCCCAATGTAAGGAGCATTCTTCCCACTGACCTCCAATGTAAGGGACATTCTTCCCACTGACCTCCAATGTAAGGGACTGTTCTTCTTCCCACTGATCACCAATGTAAGGGACGTTCTTCCCACTGACCACCAATGTAAGGGACATTCTTCCCACTGATCCCCAATGTAAGGAGCATTCTTCCCACTGATCACCAATGTAAGGAACATTCTTCCCACTGATCACCAATGTAAGGGACGTTCTTCCCACTGATCACCAATGTAAGGGACATTCTTCCCACTGACCACCAATGTAAGGAACATTCTTCCCACTGACCCCCAATGTAAGGGACAGTCTTCCCACTGACCACCAATGTAAGGGACGTTCTTCCCACTGATCACCAATGTAAGGGACGTTCTTCCCACTGACCACCAATGTAAGGGACATTCTTCCCACTGATCTCCAATGTAAGGAGCATTCTTCCCACTGATCACCAATGTAAGGGACATTCTTCCCACTGATCACCAATGTAAGGGACGTTCTTCCCACAGACCTCCAATGTAAGGGGCATTCTTCCCACTGACCACCAATGTAAGGGACGTTCTTCCCACAGACCTCCAATGGAAGGGGCATTCTTCCCACTGATCACCAATGTAAGGGACATTCTTCCCACTGACCACCAATGTAAGGGACATTCTTCCCACTGACCTCCAATGTAAGGGACATTCTTCCCACTGACCCCCAATGTAAGGGACATTCTTCCCACTGACCACCAATGTAAGGGACATTCTTCCCACTGACCACCAATGTAAGGGACATTCTTCCCACTGACCACCAACGTAAGGGACATTCTTCCCACTGACCACCAATGTAAGGGACATTCTTCCCACTGACCCCCAATGTAAGGGACATTCTTCCCACTGACCACCAATGTAAGGGACATTCTTCACACTGACCACCAATGTAAGGGACATTCTTCACACTGACCACCAATGTAAGGGACATTCTTCCCCCTGGCCATCACACTAATTGTAACATGAGTTGTAGATTTAGTCATTATAGCAGGTCCCCTGAGATCGGAAAGTTATTTTAAGGGTTCCTCTGCGATGAAGGTTGAGAGTCTGGTCTAGAAGCTGAAAATTATTGTAGTGGACGATGTTATGACGTTCGGGGCGGACTGACAACTCATGGGGCCCCCGGGTAATAAGGGATCATTGGGGCCCCTGTGTCCTTGCCCACACTCAAAAAAGCCTGTGAAAAAGGTACCAGGGGCATCTCACGGGGCCCCCTACTGACCCCCGGCCCTCGGGCAGTGCCCGAGTTTCCAAATGGTCAGTCCGCCCCTGATGGCGTTGTACATTGCTACCACAGTGATCTCTAGCTTCTGGGTCCCATGCTGAGCATCTGCCTTGCTGCATTCTGAACAGGTTGACCTCTGGGCACAGACACCATTCAAATATTGCTTTGCATTCTCTTAATGAATGCAAAGTGTTCTCTGATTGGATGAGGTGGAGAGGCGGTGTGATACCTAACCTTTCCGTAGGGATATCACACAACAAGCATATATGAGGAGTAACAGTTTAATTCTCGGAATGTGATGTAAAAAAAAAAAAAAGTTTGCTGACTTCTACATTAGCAGTTGTCACCTTCAAAGTAGTCCCCTTGTGAAGCAACGCACTTTTCCAGATGACTGCGGCACTTCTTGGAATTCATTTTCCGGAGTGCTGCGCAGGATCTTTGTTGCGGCACGCTGGGTGTCCGGAATGTTGTCAAATCTGTGTCCTTTTAAGGCATTTTTAATTTTGGAAACAGCCAAAAGTCAGGGGAATAAGGAGGTTGGTCAAGTTTTGGAATAGATTTCCAGGCCAGGAACCCTCCATACTCATGTGCATCATGTGCAGGAGCATTGTCGTGGTGATGAATCCACTTGTCAGGCCAGCGTTCCGGTCTTTTCCTCCGACCAGATTTCCGTAACTGAATTTCCGAGTAACAATGTTAGCAAGGAACATAGTTACATAGTTAGTCTGACTGAAAAAAGACAAAAGTCCATCCAGTTCAACCATTAAATTGTTGGTTGACTGCTGTACCATGTTCTATGAACTTGTAGTGAACTATCCCCTTTGGATAAAAAAAAACACACCCGCATGGTTTTGAACTGAGAACAAGACATGCGTACTTCCTTCAGACGAGGTGAATTCTTTTTTTTTTTTCCCTTTGCATGCCCTGGTGTTTTGTTACCGGATCATACTGGAAACACCAAGTTTCATCACCAGTAGCATCCCTATCAAACATCTCCGCATTCTTTAAAAGATTGGATGCAATTCGAAGGTGAAGTTGTTTCTGATCTTCTGTCAAGATTTGAGGCGCCATCTTTGTGGAAATATTCCTCATTCCTGAATCCTCCATTTGAATCTGCTGCACAGTTTCCCTGTTCATCTTCAGTCCTTCTGCCATCATTCGCACACTAAATCTTCGATCTGAGCGTACAGGGGATTCGCACTCTGTCCACATTTGCATTCGTCTTTTATGTTTTTGGCTGCCCACTTCTTGTGTCACCATGGACACCTACCAACTCCTCCTTAAAGTGTTACTAAACCCGGGACCCTGCATTCACTATATCCGGTCTCCCCGGACCCTGCATTCACTATATCCGGTCTCCCCGGACCCCGCATTCACTATATCCGCTCTCCCCGAATCCTACATTTACTATATCCGCTCTCCCCGGACCCCGCATTCACTATATCCGCTCTCCCCGGACCCTGCATTCACTATATCCGCTCTCCCCGGACCCTGCATTCACTATATCCGGTCTCCCTGGACCCTGCATTCACTATATCTGGTCTCCCCGGACCCTGCATTCTGTATATCCGGTCTCCACGGACCCTGCATTCACTATATCTGGTCTCCCCGGACCCTGCATTCACTATATCTGGTCTCCCCAGACCCCGCATTCACTATATCCGCTCTCCCTGGACCCTGCATTCACTATATCCGCTATCCCCGGACCCTGCATTCACTGTATCCGCTCTCCCCGGACCCCGCATTCACTATATCCACTCTCCCCGGACCCCGCATTCACTATATCCACTCTCCCCGGACCCTGCATTCACTATATCCCCTCTCTCCGGACCCTGCATTCACTATATCCGCTCCCCCCGGACCCCGCATTCACTATATCCGCTCTCCCCGGACCCCGCATTCTGTATATCCGGTCTCCCTGGACCCTGCATTCTGTATATCCGGTCTCCCTGGACCCTGCATTCACTATATCCGCTCTCCCCCCGGACCCTGCATTGACTATATCCTCTCTCCCGGACCCTGCATTCACTATATCTGCTCTCCCTGGACCCTGCATTTACTATATCTTGTCTCCCACCATACACAGAACATGGAAATGCAATTATTTTAGTAAATATAAACTGCTAAATACCTTTTCTCATCAGCAGTATATAGCAGTCTTGTGACTTCTATCAGTGGCCAGCAGAACACTGGTTAAAGCTTGTAGGAGGAGTTTTGTTTCTGCTCTAGGAGGATGCAGAACCCCTGACCTCTGTCTGGACAGCGCTGATTGGCCCTGTGCTGATCACATGCATTCTCCCAAGAAAAAAAAACTCTCTAGCAATACACACCAAACTGGGCATGTGTAGAGTGACTCCACACGATATGTCTTATCAGGAGTTAAGGGGGGTAAAGCAGAAGAAGGGGAAGATCAGAGAAGACATGATCAAACAGTGCTTTTACACAATGTATAGGATTAACCCGTGTATCCATAGTGAGTATAACAAGCACGCTTTACTGCATCTACAGACTGATTGTACTGTTGGGGGTTTAGTAACACTTTAAGCCGCCTATGCCATTCAAAAACCACTTGATTTCTTTATTAAGGAATGTTCACCACAAGCCTCCTGTAACAGAGCTAAACATTCACTCACACGTTTTCCAATTTTCAAGTAAAATTTTACGTGATCCGCTGCTCTAAAATTCTCCGTCACTCCCTTTTCCACCAACAGTGCAAACCTCACAAGTGTTATATCTTCTACTACTCCCTAAAGACTGAGTCCACTGGGCTGAGACCCAGGAGAGTGCAAGTGAGAACATGTCAGAACACACTTCAGTGATTTGTTGATCCACGGAATATCCGATTGCCGAATATTTTTCCCCTGCAGGAGCAAATTGGATCGTGCTTTGCTGGGTTTTTTGCCTTCCTCTGGATCAACTGTGGAGTAGGATTAGAACTTTTTTTTTTAATGGTTGAACTGGGTGGACTTCTGTCTTTTTTCAGCCAGACTAACTATGTAACTATGTAACTCACCACTATAGTACTTCACCGCGGGCATTCCGGAAGTTAAAACTGTCACACCTCATAAAATGAACTAGGGTTGAACAGAGAAAAGGCAAAGATTTCCAGAAAACAGCAAAAGCACAAGTAGCAAAACAAGTGTGGTCTCCATATAGTCCCATAGTTAGTCTGGCTAAGACAAAAGTCCATCCAGTTCAACCATTCAAAAAAAAAGTTATATAATCCTACACCCACAGTTGATCCAGAGGAAGGCAAAAAATCCCAGCAAAGCATGATCCAACTTGCTCCTGCAGGGAAAAAAATTCCTTCCTGATCCCCCGAGAGGCAATCAGATATTCCCTGGATCAACTTTCCCTATAAATGTTATATCCAGTTATATTCTCTGTATCCAAGAAAGAATCCAGGACTTTCCTACAGCAATCCACTGAGCTGACCCCAACCAACTCTTGAGGGAGTCTATTCCACATTCTCACAGCTCTTACTGTGAAGAAACCTTTCCGTGGTTGGAGATTAAATTTATTTTTCTCCATCACCCCAATTCTTGATTTTTGCAACTTTGTTCTTTTGCTTTTAACATTAGCTTCATTCTACAACAAGATTTATTCTAATGCACGGGTGCTCAACCTGTGGCCCGCGGGCCACACGTGGCCCTCAGAGCTCTTTGATGTGCCCCTTTCAGAATGCGCACCGCACCTACAAGGTATAAAAGAAGTCTATGGCGAAACTTACAGGAAATCTGCAGGCACGCGGCGCTGCACCCGCAGTGCCAGGAAACCGCAGCTCATCAGTGTGAAAGCGCCTTATTGGAGGCTCAGGACAGTAAGAGCTTTTTTATATTTGTGTATTGGGGGGCTGTAAAACCCCATAGTTATGACGTGTTTTCACCACACACCCCCAACCACTGGTGTAGCGCCAGTGGTCACAATGGTGGCCCCATTCCTTGCTCCAGGTGGCCCTTGCAGCCTCCCTGTAACATTCTGTTTTACTCTTGGGCAAAAAGGTCAGTAGGGGCGGTGTAATCAGAAACCGATCCTCTCTGTTTTCCTCCTGCAACTGCTGAAAGCCGACTTCTCCTCCCCTCCCTCTGACCGGCATTCAGCAGGTGCAGGAGGTACAGTGGGGCAAAAAAGTATTTAGTCAGCCACCAATTGTGCAAGTTCTCCCACTTACAAAGATGAGAGAGGCCTGTAATTGGCATCATAGGTAGACCTCAACTATGAGAGACAAAATGAGAAAACAAATCCAGACAATCACATTGGCTGATCTGGAAAGAATTTATTTGCAAATTATGGTGGAAAATAAGTATTTGGTCAATATGAAAAGTTAATCTCAATACTTTGTTATATATCTGTATATATATACTGTTGCTGGTATGTTGGCCCATCCTCCATGCATCCTCCATGCAGATCTCCTCCAGAGCAGTGATGTTTTGGGGCTGTCGCTGGGCAACATGGACTTTCAACTCCCTGCAAAGGTTTTCTATGGGGTTGAGATCTGGAGACTGGCTAGGCCACTCCAGGACCTTGAAATGCTTCTT